GGGTGGATTGGTTGATTTGTGTTAACTGCTGGCGTGCCGGATGGTTTCCTCATGTGCCCGACACATGATGCGGAGCCGGTATTCAGGCCTGCAGCCAGCTCTCCCACGCAGATTTCTCACCCTGCAGAGACATGAACGAAAACACTGATAAAGCAGAAACACAAATATCACACATGACACAGATCTTTGTCGAAATCTCCCCATGTTCCCAGTTTGTTCTGCAGCTGCATGTGCACGCATGCTGTGTATTTATTCCTATGTCTTGTATGTTTATCTGTCAGGTGTTTCAACACAAGAGAGTTCAAGCAGTTGGAGCTTGTTGAAAGACCTCAGTTCTTCCTCCACTGTGTGGAAAAATCCAAAAATATCCTCCTTTGCAATGTCAGCTCATATTGTTTGCAGATGCAGATTAACTGACTGAAACAACAGTCCAAAACTCCTCTGTACAGATGTGGTTTCAGCATTTTTGATTTCACTCCATCCTTCTCTGGTCGCACCGAACAACTCTTAAGTTGGAGGTGCAACGTGTTGTGTTTAATGTTTTTAAAATGGAAGCCACATTTCACATAAATCCCGGTTCTTTATGTCTCAGGGGACGTCACTCTTTCTACTTCATTCCTGTTGTCAGGAATGTCAACACAGTGGGAAGTGTTAAAGGAAATACAGGAATGAACAACAGCCCAAATATAAGAAGATAAGGCAGTACTTTGTAGCATGAAATTGAAATGTTGAGTTGAAATATTAGAAATGTAATGAACTTTTATCTCAAATCAATGCTACAATGAAAATGTGTGTCTCAAATGTGAAAACATTGATAATCACTTGTTAAACTCCTCAAAGATATTATCCACAGCAATGCACCCTCCATGTCTCACGATTTAGAGATCAATAATCAATAATGGTAAACGTGGTATTCCTTAACAGTGTTTCTTAAAGATATTAACAGGTGTTTTGTATACTTGGTGATGACCTTTAAATCACAGTCAGGCAGCAGCCTCTGGGACTGAGAAGTTAAGACAATGCACGTAGCCAAAACCTGCAGTTCCTCAAATGTCCACTTGAGGCTGGCTCCAAAAGTAAATTAATCCCCATAGACCCCGATGGTAAAATGTCCAGCTTTACAGCAGAAATACAAGTTTACTCCCTGGTACAAAATACAACTTTGGTTTCTATCGTTAATTGACCCATTCATGATAGCCGCATATGGGGTGAATTTTTACCGTCTATGAGATGTGGTGCTGCACCAGGTAACATAACAGCATGTAGTTTCAGGCACATTTCATGTGTCATGTCTATGTATTTTAAGGTTATTGCGGGTCATGGTGTGGTGAAGAAATGGTTAAGTATAGAGGGAAGTTTAAGAGGATGGTGTCATTCATCGACTCATACATAAAATGATGATGTCGTGGATAACACATGAAAGGACTTGGCATGTTATTCATGCAGTTCTTCTTGATACCAGGAAAGTTTCAGTGGAGCATGTACTGATGGAGCGTCTTAGACAAGAAAAAGAAATAATCTGTTGAATTAAAATGCGAATACAAGCAGCTATAAACACATGAGAGCCTGAGAAGCAGCCAAGCAGACATTCTTCTTCCAGCTGAAGGTGACTGTCATGTTCCTGTATGGATTGAGTTAGTCACGTAGAGTTTGAGCTGTGTGACTTGTATCGCCTCAAGCATGTTTTAATGTCTTTGCTTTTCTAGTTGGCGTGTCTGTTTCCTTTTATCTCTTTATGGCCTTTTCCTGCCATTTCAGCTGTCTTGCACTTTTGATTAATCTTAATAGAAGGAAAACCATATTTTGATTAGTGTCTCCATGTAAATGCTCCCTGCTGATCAAATTAAAACTTTGCAGACTATCTGTCATCTCCATCTTGGTCTGGTTTGCTGCATTCAGAGCTGCATATAGAAACCAGTCAAGGAGAGGAAAGAGCTGTACAGGAATATTTCAGACTGCTCTTGACACGCTGGTGTTTTCCCTCCCAAACTGCAGCAATACAGACATCTCTACTGTACATGGGGACTTTTCTTGTAACGTGTCATCTTTTTTTTTGCGTCTGTGGAGGATTTATCACAGAGGATTAATCTCTGACACGTAGCAGGAAGAAAATCCCACAGCACCCCAGAATGTTTAAGTGGTGATAAGACTGGAGAGAACCACACTCCTGGTCCAATGGACCTTCACATATGGTCCTGCTTTTAACTGTGGTTTGGCTGCCAGTCCACCACACCATACTTTCTGGTTTTAGGATTTTATTTTCATTTGCTTGAGGTCATTTTCACAAATGCTTTTGGGTGTTTTTGTGAGAAGGGGAGCAAAACAAAAACTGCACTTCTTAACATCAAGTCTGTTTGGGCAATTCTTTGAGATTTTGATGTCGATATGTTTCATGTTTATACTTTAGGCTACCAACAGCCATTTACATTAGCTTAGCATGAAAACCAGAAACAGTAGGAAGCAGCAAGCCTTGATCGATCCAAAGCTAACAAAATCAGCCTGCCAGTGCCACTAAAGCTCAACAGTTTCTATGTAGTATAGTTGTATGGAAATGCTTGGACACCTCTGGGCAAACTGCAGATTATAAATACGATCCCTGCAGCAAAAACACAACAAGAAATGAGCAGATAATGCAACAGGAATTACCGCATGAATAGAGGGAAGAAAGAATTCCACAAAATATCAGCAAATTCAGGATGTAAGTCAAGAAATTCAGGGGAGTCAGGGGAATTCAAATTATCCAATAAAGCCTACTTCCAAAATCTCATTCAGTAAGGAGATGAAAAAGCTGAAGACTGAAGCCTTTGGAGTGGCTCCTCAAAGTTTCCTGACTTGAACATAACTGAAAATCTGCCTGTGGATATTAAACATGCTGTGCGTGCAAGAAAGCTTAAAAATATCTCAGAATCAAAAGATCCGCAAATTAAGAGGAGATAGACGACGAGCAGGCTACGAAAGCTTTTGAAAGCAGGGGCTTCACTAAGTGCTGACTCAAATGGGTGCTCAAACTTTTACACGTGGAGAATATAGTTTTTTTCTTTCTTTTTTACGTTAATGAAATAAAAAATAATTGTGCTTATTACTGAACTTGTATGACTTTTGTTGAGCACCAGGTTGGCTGTTTGCCCTGTTTGCAGTCTGTGCTGCCCGAAGCAAACACTCTGCTGGCTTTACCTTTATATTGTATATGCAGTCACAACATCATCACAGCATATCACATTAATTTTAAATGATTCAGAATTGTATCACTGCTCAATAGCTGCAGTGCTTCTAAGTTGAACAGTAGGGTATCTGCCTTTATGAAAAATTAAGAAGCAATAGTTTGCTGTATTAAAAATACCTTGCCCACAGTAGCCAATCAATGCAACAAAAGTCAGTATATTGTTTATCACTGAGAGTTTTTTTTTCTTCATCTCCTCATCTTTATTTTTACAGACAAAATCAATCATCTTCACCAAATTCCCGCTGAAATGTTCTGAAATGTTCTTCTTTGCCGTTTGATGGATGGTTTGTGTTGCTCTACTTTTCTCTTTAAATCCCAAAGGTGCTCTATTGGATTCAAGTCAGGTCCAGGTTATAGTTTTTTACAGTTTTTTTTTTTTTTTACATCTCTCCGAACTTTTTTGTGATTTTATAGATATTTATCGTGCCTTCACCTTTTGCACTCATGAAGCACCCTGTGGTCACACCACCACCGCTGTGCTTCACTGTCAGGACTATGTATTCACTGTGGCAGTCCTGGCTGCATTCATGCCAAACATGCTGGAATCCATCTGAGTCAAAGTATTTTTTTTGGTCCTGTTTGACCCTGATATCAAATCGAAACCCTAGTTTTCACCGATAACCCTGTGTCAAGTCTAAAACCCCTCCTTGTCTGTTTTTCAGAGCTAAATTTTGAAAGTAGTTCACCATCTGTGGTGTCATTTTAGGAGGATAGTCTCTGCAGCTCTGATTAGTGGTGCTATGGCTCATCTGTACCTCCTAGTTACTGCTGCAACTGTGTTTTGACAGATCTTTTGGGGGGGGTCACCAATTCTCCTGTGTCCTTTTCCATCTTTGTTAAGCTGCATAATCAGATTTTTCAATTCCTCCAGCAATTCTTTTTCACGTGGAGCCCTGATATAGACATTTACAGCCCATAGGTCCAAAACCTAGAAAGTTCTGGTGTTTGCAGGTTGTTTTAAACCATGTTCATGCAATTAGGCTGTTTGGAAATCAAAAGCGTACTCAGTTTTCTTTGAATTCATCAAACTTGTATGTCACTGATCACAGGTGTGTTTACTTCTGTTTTATTGAGTTTCTACTTTCAGGTCTTCATTTTCCATTTATTCTTTTTTGTAGTATCTGTTTTTCATTGTTAATAGGAGGAAATACACAACTTGTCAATGAATTATGAAGAGGTGATGTAATTTGTAGTCATTCATCCATCCATTATCTATACACCGCTTAATCCTCACTAGGGTCGCGGAGGGGCTGTAGCTTATCCCAGCTGACTTAGGGTGAAGACAGGGGACACCCTGGACAGGTCACCAGTCTATCACAGGGCTACACTTAGAGACAGACAACCAAGCACACTCACATTCACACCTACCGACAATCACCAATTAACCTCAACATGTTTTTAGACTTGTGGGAGGAAGCCGGAGAACCCGGGGAGAACCCACGCTGCACAGGGAGAACATGCAAACTCCACGCAGAAAGATCCCGGTGCCCCCACCGGGATGTGAACCAATGACCTTCTTGCTGTGAGGCAATAGTGCTACCAACTGTGCCACCTTGCAGCCATAATTTGTAGTCATTTGGCATTTAATTGACTTTGCACAGGGGTGTTCTCACCTATTTTGTGTACTCTGAGTATCAGTCTTCTGATTTAACTCTCAACAAGAAGCACATTCCCAATCATTTCAAGCTCTTTCTCTAATGAAATCAACTTTACATTTCTCTGTGCATGTAAACACAGCCAGTATTAGCTGAGCCACAATGACAAACCGGACTCATAATGCAATGACATCTCTGTTTATTTTATTATAGATGTTCATTTCACTTGCACACATTTTTGTTTTTTTTACATTTTGTAGTGTATTTTTGTATCTTGTATCAACTCTAAGAAATTCACATTTACACAATGCATTTTACATTAGTAGCTAACTACAGATGACATTCAGCTTTTCTGGGACCAGGTCCTGATCTGTCTGTATCAAGTAATAATGTCACAGAGAATCACAGTGAACCTCCCCATAGATTTCATGTTACTGCAGATTACATGTCTTGTTGCCTCTGAGATGGAGGTACGTGATAAAACTTACTGTACATGCAAAACATCTGCACAGTAGAGCTGATTTCTATTGACAAATAGCATATGTGAGTTTTAGAATAGTCCTAGGTGACATGTAAATGTTTTCATAATGCTACATGACCCTATTAGTTACCAGTATCTATAGCATGTTAACATACAGTATGTGTTCTCTGGCAACCTATTTGTACTGCAAGTCTCTCTATAGTGGTGCCAGGTTTATACAGTTTGCTTGAGTCTCCAAAGTTCATCTATAGTGCTGACTTCGATTTACGAAAAACCTTCATTTTCTCTCAAAATATTAAAAAAAAGCACATTAAACCATAAAATAAATGAAAAACTGGAAAAAAAAAATCGTCAAACTTCTGAACTCAAAGACACTGAACACTGTACACAGGCACTTGAACTGTGGTACACTCTTTGAGTGCATTCATATTACGTCTAATAAGTGCTACAAAATAACATCAGTTAGGAAAAATACTGATTCCAAAAGTGTAATACTATTCAGAATACAAATGAAAAGGAAAAGACAAAAAAAAACAACTTACAAATAAACATTTTGGGCAAACTTAAACCTTGTCCTTGAATGTGTCTTGCATATTTTTTCTGTTTATATTCAGGTTGTACATTCTTACACACAAGCTGTTGGAGAAACAGAATAAATCGGTTCAGGGTAGATGAGTGCGCTGCTGGAGGGCTGATTGGGCCTCAGGGGAAGATGGAGTCCAGGAGTGAGTGTGTCTTTTTTCTTTTTTTCTTCTTCTTTAAATCAACACTCTGGTCACTCATACTGTAGCAGAGTCTGCTTTAATGTCACTGCCACAGCGAGAAGCAGGATGAATCATACCGGCTCTCTCAATAGAAGAGTGAATCATAGCCTGCCTGTGTGTGTGTGTGTGTGTGTGTGTGTGTGTGTGTTTGTGTGGTCACATGTCCACACCACATCAGAAGTGAGCAAACTACAGCCGAGGTTCGTCTGTTTCCATTCATTACGCTGCAGTGACACATGAATCACAAGTGAGGAAAGTTTAATTGTCTTGAGATGTTGGCGACCACGTGATGGGTCCACGCAGCGCCACACAGGATGTACAGTAATGACTCACTTTCCCTTTCTTCTCCTCGCTCTGTGACCTTTCTTATCTGTGTAGCATTCACAAAACTCCACAAGCTCCGCTAACAAGTAAACACATTTCACTCTCCTCCCAAGCAATGGTTTGTATCCTTATTCATCCTCAGAGATGCACGAGAAGATTGACACCACTTGAGCAGGGATAATGGCACGTAACGCCCCTGCAAAAACAGCGTGTCGTGTTTTGCATTGTAGTTTTTGCATGTGACAAAGAATTGATGAGTTTAGAAATGCTGGTTTTTAACTATGGAAGGAGCCAGGCAATATCTTAATGCTAAACTAAGTAAACCAGCTGCTGCAATCTGGGTATCAACAGGCAATTTGTTTTTATTTGTAATTCAACCAACAACCCCCAAAAAAACCTTTCAGAATCAAAAAAACTATCAAACATGGTCTGGTTTTGGTTTCCGGCAGTTCCTTTTGACGCCATGTGAGTTTTTTTGCGATTTGTTTTCGTCACTCAACATCTTCTAACCGATGCTTAGTCGGTCGCGAGTGGATATTCCAGACTCTGGTTGCCTAGGTAACCCTGTTTCCGAGTGAAACCAGCCAGCTTCGGCTAGCAAGTTTTCCAGGTTTCATTTGTTTTAGTTCGCACATATGCACATAGATAGATAGATAGATAGATAGATAGATAGATAGATAGATAGATAGATAGATAGATAGATAGATAGATAGATAGATAGATAGATATTCTTTTGTTTGGTTTTCTCAATTTGGAAGCAAAAAATCTTTGGGTTTTTAGTTGTTAAAATAATTAAAACTGAAGTAAACTCAAAAGCCACTTGCCTTATGCTTTTGTTTTCCAAACAAAAACAAAAAAACAAAAAAAAACACACAAGAAAAGGAATTGCCTAAAACCAAAAACACTTGATTAGTTTTTATTTTTTGTTTCAGACTTCTGAAACTGTTCTTCTGTTTTTGATTTTCAAAACAAAGACCAGATCTATTTTTGAATTCCAAATGAATCACAGATTGTTCAGTGATAACCAGTGCTGCTGCCTGTAGCTTCATGGTATCAATTTTCTCCTCCACGTCTAAGTCCAAGCATCAAACTTTAAATCCATCTGTTCCTGAATCATGTTGGAATTTGATTATCGTGCCTGTCTACGCTGCATTATATCTCTCTCATACATCTACAGACAAATTTTTCTAAAATCTCTTTCTAATTTTTAGTCACCACAACAAGAGGGACCCTGAGAAGGAACCTGTAGGAATGAAAGCAGTGCAGTTCAGCTCAGCTACAGTTTGCTTCTTTTACAAGGTGTCTACTGTTTGTCGACTGCAAGCAGCAGGAGGGGGGCGACATGAAAGCGGTCCTCCGTGATAAAAGGTGCTACCCAGCCTTAGAAGTGAGCCTGCACTAAGTGCTTTTATAACACCTTGGCGCTGTAGTAAATGTCAGTGGCCTCAGCGTTGGATAAGGGATCTGTAATGTCACGTTGAGGCTTCGGCGCTCCGTCGCCTCTATGCTGTCCGCCGCATTCATCCTGATGAGAGTGGAGCAGAGGGTAAATGAAGCTGAAACCCTGAGGTAATTACTACCTGCCTGTCAGGACGTCGCTCTAATGGGCCCTGTGTTGACGCGAGCGCCGGCGACAAAGCACTAGCGCCTCAGCACTGTTTATCAGGCAGAGCTGTATGCAAGACTGTAAGAGCGAGCGTGTGGAAACAGAAGTGCTTTTCAGAAAGTGTGCCTCTGAGGGGTGTCCCAATTTTCTGCTCAGTAAGTGTAAGATATTATAGATGGGATTCCTTGTTCCAGATTTTTTTTCATTTAAGCATTTTTTTCTTTTTAATTTGTTCATCAGAGGCCTTTCCCTTTCCCCTCATCGCAGTGAGTCAGCAGAGCTCCACAGTCCAGAGAAGCTCCACTGGGGGACTGTGGAGGCACCCTGCTGAATCAGCCGTGTAACTCAAGCCACAAAATGAAAGCACCGCACCGCAAACAGGAGACAAACATTTGGGCGTGTTACATTATAAGCACAAAATTACTGAAACACAACCCCCCGGAGGCACTGCGAAGGGGGTTTCTGTTGGTGTGGAAGAATACCGAGCAGCCTTGTACAGTAAATGACGTCTCTTCCCGATCGGTCGGTCGGTTGACAATGACGTAAAGACAACATGACACCAAACTCATCCGCAGTTCAGCGATACAAGAGACGGGAAAAGTTCAGAGGAAGCTGGGAATGACTCACAACTCCCCCCTGCTGCTTTTTGTATCGCTGATGACGGCAGGGGTCTAATAGAGTGAATCCTATGGAGAGAGACAGAGGATTATCTGAGAGTGGAAGATGCAAGAGGAAAAAAGCTGCCCCAGTCTCTTTGATGCGCAGGGAAAAAAGAAAGAAGACATAATGGAGTACCTTTCTGCCTATTTACCTTTCAGGCACAGACGTTTCATGGCAAGCGGTTACAAAATTAATAGCTTAGAAAGGGGCAGAAGATACTAAACTGGCAGCTACGGAGGATGACATACTGGAATTAATAGGAGATGCACTGGCGTATATCTACGATCTGTGTAACACTAGTTAAGATAGTGGTTGATATTGCCGTAGAGGTCGTGTCCAGGCACACTGAATGACAGAGTTAGACTCTATATGCAGGGATGAAGAGTCACGCTGTGGCCCAAAGGTGCTGGGAAGTCCATAAAAGTCAAGTCCACGGCCACTCGTCAGTTTTTTTACATTCTCTGCGTGGCCCACCCTGCCCTTGTTTTGGTCCACTCTCTCTCTTCTCCCCGTCTTCAGCTCCTCTTCCTCCTCTTCCTCAGACTTCAGGGGGAGGCGAGTCGGGCTGGGGGCCACCGTCCACCCTCACCACTGCAGGGAGAAAGTAAAAAGAAATGTGTCAGGCTCACAGGGAGGAGGGCACAGGTGATTTGTGGTTAAATCAGTGTGCTTCCTTTTTTTATTTTTTTTATTTTAATCTATTTGAATTCTCACTTGTGCCTACACAGCCTTCTTGTGGCTCCCGCTAAGCAGCTCCTCTTCAGTAAGTGGGAAGTCCTTTGATTAAGGACACCTTGATTAGGTTCTGAATGGCGGGCAAATGTTTTTTTAATTAAATTTCCTCCACACAAAGATTATAACTTCCTATGGTAATGCTTTAGATTATAGCCGGCAACGTACAGCGTAATTACCCCCGAGTTACGGTGTAATCTTTTCTGTACCTGTTGTAATGTCCCAGGACATTGTTTTCTGTGTCTGTCAGCTCCTGTCTCAGCAACCTCTGCAAGAGCACAGTCTCCACACACCTAATTATTTGCTCTTTTTAATTCATTAAAGCTAATTAACTCGGTTTATCCGGTTTTGTTTTGCTCCTTCATGTTGCAGCCTCCTGAGTCAGGGTCATCACATATGGGGGCTCGTCCGGGATGCACTGTTTAGCGTCTGATTACTTGTTTTTGGTTGTTTCTTCTTGATTTTAGCAAAGTTTGCTCCCTTGGTGTGGTGGCAAGAGGCCTCCCTCTTCCCTTTGAATTATAGTCATCTTTGTGTAAAAATAGATCTATGGAAGTAATGGAAAGCAAGTTGCAATGTTATGGAATAAGGAGGTCACAATTTAGCATCAACACTGTGTAACTACTTCATTATTCCAGAATATAGTAAAGGTAGCTATTGGGGTGAACAACACCTGATCCAGAGCTCAGAGAACAACAGTATCACTGACAAAACACCTTACTGTGGCATTTTTTCTGAAATATAAGCACAAATATACCCTGCGATTAATTTAAGAAAACAAAATGATTTTATGGTTTCTTGGCAATAAGGACATTTTGAACCACATCCAGTGGTGGAAAGTAGTCAAGTACATTTACTCAAGTGGCGTATGTAAACACAGACTTAGGGTACTTTTCTTGAGTATTTCCATTGTATGTTACTTTATACTTCCACTCTACAACATTTCAGAAGGAAATATTGTAGGATACCACTCAATTATAACAAACTTTCAAAACATAACTTGGTGTAGAAGATTAAGCCAGTGGTTGACAGTATTTATAGCTTCAGGGTCACATTTTAGATGTCAATTAGTTGTTCACAACTTCACCAAAAACTGATTTTTCCCTTTAAAACTTCTCTCATAGTTTAATTTCAGTATATGTTCAAATGATCCAATATCACAGCAAAAAACAAAGATTAGAAAAAAACTGGTAACAGATCTGTGTATCAGAGCTACGTTTCTTCTTCTTCTCCCTCAGATTTATCTGCTGTTCTTGTATATAAACCATACATTAAGTAGTTCAAATCTGCAGCAGCTAAAACAGTAACATGCTGCTGACACACTGATGCGTCACTATTAATCCTATAATGATGTCTTTACTTGTAATGGAATCCACTTTTACTTTTGTAAAGGACTGAGTGCTACCACTGATGAAATTATAACAAATTTATTACGTGAGTCCATCTTCCCTGATTCCTGCTCTTTCATAGTCATACTGTACCCTGTAATAATAATGACATAGGTACCCAGTGGTTAACCCTCTGAACCCCAAAACCAACCAGTGGGTTGGAAGGTGTTTACTCTTTAAAAAAATTGCCAAAATGACACCATCTATCAAAACTAGAAACTTTAAAACTTTCTCATTGTTCTTGAATTATTCATGTGTGTGTCTTCTGTGGGGAAAATGGGCCAAATCAAAGCTTAAACGAGGGATATTTTAGCTAAATCACTTTGTCATGCATGCCTCATTTTACAAATTGCCAAAATTATACTGTTTGCTCTCGCAAGATTATATACAAAAATAAATTCTGCTCTAATAGCTGCAACTGAGACGCTATTAGTGACTCAGCTGTGACCAACAGTCAGTTAAGCTGAACTGCAGGCTGTGTTTACACAGAGTAGATAAGAGGCAAGTAGCGAATCAAAATGTTCAAGAAATAAATAGTAAAATGTCTGTGGTATGTGGTGCCACCATTGTTGTTCCCATATTTGTTCCCATACTCTGTATTTATTGTTGCTATTGTTGCACCAACCCACCAGAACAAATTCCTTGTATTGTGTAAACTATACCTGGCAATAAATCTGTTTCTGATTCTGATATTGGTAACCCCTGTGGGCTCTTGGTAAAATGTTGTACATGTTTATTCTAGGTTTTTTCATGAAATAATTTTAAATAAAAGAAAATAAACTTTTGCTTTTTGCACAATATATGACATTATAACTGTGTCACACTGCACAGAAGACATTTTGAGTTTGTTCTACTTCTACCCATGACTGTGCTGTTTCCATAGAGGTGCAGAACTTTATATTGCAGTGAAAAATGAGCCGATGGTGAATAAAAAATGTGAGAGGAGCAAAAAAAAAAAGCCAGAAACTGCAAGGGGATTCAGAAGGTTAAATAATAATGACAGTAAAAATTCTCTCTTAAGGTCCTTCTAAATGTCCAGACTATTTTTCATTAGGTCATACACACCATATAACTATAGTCGTGGTTAAATCTTGCAAGCTCTAGTCTACAGCTAACTATACACCCAAAATACATCAATACTGTACATTTTTCCTCATGGAGAAATTGTAAAACGCCTGATAATCACAGTCCTCCCTGCAGGGGGCCCTGTGGTGTCACTCACTCATCCGAACCTGTTCAAACTGGAGTCATGAGGATGGGACACAAATACTCTCTTTTCCCACAAACCTCTTAACCTGCTGTCAATTGAGGGGAAGCCATGGAAACCTCTCGGGAATGCAGAGGCATTCCTGAGAGGACCCCCAAGTCCGCTGGGTGTTTTCTTGTCTGTATCAATGCATCCTTGTACAGCAGAGTTTATTTTAAAGCTTTCGAAGAGGGGGGGAGGCTGGGCTATAACGTCTCTACAAAATCCAAACATTTTACTGTCATAGCTGCTTTCTTTCTGTATCCACCCTGATTCTGTCCTCCTCTTCCGTCCGGTTTAAACAGACCTCTCTGCAGGCATCGTAAGTGACACTGAGCAGAGAGGCAGATGATGCTGGCCAGAGCGCAGCCATCTGCAATGCACACGAGTTCAGGCACACACTCAGTGGTTTTGCACCTGTACTTCTGCTTCACCCCTGGCACCGGACCTCATTTTCAGAGGGAGCGTCGATAACAACAGCCACATGGCGCTCCGACGTTTCATAGAGTCCGACCTCTTTCCCAGAATCAATACAAGCTGTCTTTCACTGAACCAGTTCAATCAGGTCTCCTCTGTAATGCGAACTCCCAATCAGAGCAACGCTTTGTTACGCACTTCTTTTTTTTCTTTTTTTTTGCTGCTTTCTAATCAGCACTCTCATACAGTCCTGATTGGACCCCGAGCCACAGTAAAGCTTTGAGAGATTCTGATGCAGACAGAATTTTAGATGGCTGCGTAGTAATCACAGCAACTCCCAGGGAAAAGTTAAGAGAGAGCGTGATTGTTTAATAATTTATAAAGAAGTATATTGCTTGTTTTTCATTTTGCTGCTTTACTCATCGCTCCGTGGGGGCAGCTGTTCATTTCACAACTTATTTTAATACTTTTCTGTTTAGACAATAAATGCAAAAGGCAGATGATGAGTCAACGGGCCTCCAGACACATAAAGAGCTCCTCATCTTACCTACCAGAGAATAAAAATAAACCTTTAACCTAATATTCTTTATGGGGATTTGTGCTTTCACAGTGTCCTAACCTCTTTCACTTACTCATTTCACAGTTTTTTGGGTTATATTTTAGCAAATATTGTTAACTTTTAAAAGCCGAAAAGCTGATTTTCTCAGTCAGCTGCTGTAAATGACAGGATGCTTCATGAACACAGGACCTTGCAGGCTGTTTTAGAGCAGCCTGAACCTTTAGACATTAATTTTGGTGACTTCTTTAAAATGAAAGAGATTTTGATTCAGTATTTTAGGCTTAGATTTGGTCATTTTCCTGACCGAAACACATAACTAGTTCAAGAAACATTGGAGAGAACGTTTGTTTTTTTCAATTTCTACATAGTCTGTGATAAATGGTGCTCAAATGGTTAATTTTCTGACCAGTCACTGAAGCTCTACTGTGCATCAAATGAGCTACAGATGAATTCAGTTGTTCTCTCCTGGGAAACTGCTGTTGTCATCCTCAATGTTAAACTCATAAAGCAATGTTGGGAAAACTTCCACCAAGAGAAGTTTTATCAAAACTTCCCCTTGTGGGAGGATGACAAGCAGTTATGAATCATCCCTACAGTATTACTGACATTATATTATTAATTCATAACATGACTCAGTTGCATTATTACAATAACATGAAGCAGTGTAATGAAAAAGAAAGTGCTGTGAGCTTGTGCAGATGCAGAATCAGAAATGTTTAGTGAAAATAAAGACTCTGCTCCCTCGGATGGAGACTGAACAGCTGATTTTTTGCTTGTTTCTAATAAATAACATTCAGAGGTACTTATATCCTGGACTTCACACCTGCCGCTGTGTGATTTTCAGCTCTAGTATCTAAATTTGTACCCCTTCATCGTCAAAATCTACATTTTCCGCTCTGACACCGGCGATCTTTTAAGTGGTTTTTGATGGACAGCAGCTTTGATGCCACTCTGTGTCGGCTGTGAGGTCAAATACAGGTCAGGGACGCACTGTTGGGCATTACGACTGAGAGCTCGGAGTCTTGTTTAAATTTTAAACGCGCTGAATATTCGGGGAGGGGGAAAGCTGGCGAGCAAAAGAGGTTGCACAGATAGATGGTTCTTTTTAATGGAGATGAGCAGCCAGAAATGAGGCTGAGCCCCCTTCATGTAGGAGGTCTCACCCCTCAGCGGTGACTCACACGGGGAGGAAAACCCTCTCTGGGTGTTGTCAGTCAAAAACAGAAGAGGGACATTTTCATTGCTTTGTTTCTCTTTTTAGAAGCTCATTTGACTAAAGGTGTTCCCATTGCTTGAGCCGCCAGTTAAATATGGTTCATTGGAAACAGGAAACCCCCTGCGATTATCATGGATTTAATGTGCATATTCTCGCCCCCTCGTGCTTTTTAACAGGCCCGGCCGACAGAACCGACAACCCTCCCTCCCTGCGCAAGAGCTTTTTGCTGCCTGTTTTAATGGCTTCCGGTGCTAATGCCAATTAGCACGTGCTAAACGCTGATGCTACACGAGCTTTGGGAAAAAGGCAGGCCTGGGTCCCGTCTCGTAACACCTGCTAATGAGCCAATCAGTTAAAAGAGGCGACAGGGTTAACCAGGCAGCCATCCTGTCACTGAACCAACGCCAAGCTGCCCCTCCAAAAGAAATTCCTTCTTTTCTTCGACATACAGCGGGCTTTGCATTCGTGGAGTGGAAGAATGGAAAGAGGTACTCAGACAAAACAACAAAAACACAAAATAAGCTTTTCCCAAGCCTCATTAGGATGTAATGGGGATCCCAGACAAGACACAGTGGCGTGGATTGTTCGGGGGAGGATTTGTCAGCGGTTTGGCTTGTTAGCGCATTATTATCCCTGTATAACCATTTCTTAATCTTGACACAATAAGCCGAGGAAGGAGAAAAAAAATGAAATCCTGAGAAAGAGAGCCGGCGGGAGCATGAATGAATGAATAACGAGATCACGACTTCTTCTCTGGGTAAAAAAGCTGCTCCGGTTTATGTGTGTGGATCAAGTGAGAGAGCTGGTTTCATTCCTTTAATGTAAGCATTGTTTGAGCGTTGAAGGGAGGTCGTGTCTCATTCCTGCAGCACTGTCTTTTATTCTGCCATCAGCTGTTTAAAGGTTGTCCTCTTTCTTTTTTCGGTGCCAGTTTCTCACCGACGCAGATCGACACGCTCTTGGTGTTTAAACCCATTGCAGGGTAGTGAGTTAAATCCCCTGATCACATCTATGGATACATTAAAAAACATAATTGGATGAACAAAGAAGACTTAATTTGGCTGAAATACAAAGAAATTCTACTGTTTTTTGACTTTCAGTAGAAGTTTCTGGGGTTTACTCCTTCTTTTTGCTTTTATTACATTTACATCCACTGTGACTTCATTCTTCACTGCAACATAAAGTCCTGCCCTTCGTCTTTGATTTTTTTTCTTTCCCAAAACAACTATAATGAAGATGTACAGCATTTTTCCAAGCACCCACAGGTGTTACCAAAAATACTCTACATACTATCGATATTTTACTACTTACATATTTTGTTTCTGTACTTGTGTAAACACAGCCTGCAGTTCAGCCCAGTTCGGCCAATAACTCTCTGAATTTTTACCACATGACTTCTGGTCACCGTTGAGTCTCATCACTTTATCATATTGCAGGAGAGCTCAGAAGTTTTCCTCATTAGAGCAGCCATTTTGATTTTTGACACATTTTTAATTGAGCGATTTTGAATGGATGTTTTCCGACAGAACAGCCCATCAAAGATAATTAGAAAAGCCAGTCAAAAGTTTAAAAATCCAATTATTGTTTTTGTTTCTACAGCTTTGATAAATGGTTTATTTTGGACATTGGACTGAGTGGCACATTTTTAAATGAGCCTTTGAGAATAAAGCGATTTTGATTAAATTTAACATTTGATTTGGTGAAGTTTTCCAACGGAAGGACACTTGATTTTTTATCATGTAACTGCTGATCACAGGTGAGTCACTACTAGATTCAAGGGTGAAATGCAAAATTATTTGTTTTTATAGAATCTAGTTAAAGCAAATCGTTAATTTTTGGCAAATTTTTTATACGAGACATGTAGAATAAAGTGATTTTGATCAAATATCACAATTTCAAGCTTAGATTTGGTTAGTTTGACACATGATAAGTTCAAGTACCGTCTGTAAGTTGAAAAGCTGATGATTCTTTCTTGTTTGTACAGTTTTCAGCTCTGATAAATGGTACCTTTTTTTAAGAACCACGTCTTTCAAACCTGCAAGTGAGTTTTGGGGTTAAAGAATGATGCTGGTCTTACAGTAATTAAATCCTGTGAAGAAACTAAAACCAATAGTGTTCATCCTTTTTCACAGTGACTGTCTTTGCTTGGTTATTTCTTTGCTAAAGACCTCCACATTTTTGAGTGAATCCCACAGACACTGTCCTGCTGCTTTCATACTCACTTGAGCATTAAATATGTATTAATCTCCAACTGAAATTAGTCCCCAAAAATGCACAATTTTCTCCTGCTAGAATAACATATGCTTTTAGCAGAAACCACAGGCCATGAGGCTGACAGCCAAAAGTTGGAAAGTACTGCGACATTAAGTAGTTTTAAATTGCACAATTTATATACTCTCAGGTTTTCTCGAGTCTCCTCAAGTGTTAATGCAGCGATGGCAGCTAATTGAGACAAACAAAAACACAGAGACCTTCGCTTGTGTTTCTCTCTCTTAATGCACTGCACCACAAGAAGTAAATTAAGCACAAGGTAAATTGCTTTATAATAGATCAGCAAAGTGCATAATGTTGGTTCCCAAGCTAGACATCATTTACTGAGTTCGTCTTACAAAACCTTTTAGGTTTCGTCTGGCTCGCGAGACGACGTGGCAAAATCTGTCCTAAAGACCTGCACTCCAAATACTGTCTGAGTCCCCAGAGACAAATATAGAGCAGTAGTAAGAGTACTAAATGCAAATATAGATCACACATATGCAGTTACAGCCCGCCTGTAGGCTACATTACTAATGTGTATTGGATGAGATGGAAAGTGTGTCAAACTTCTGTCAACACTGAAACTTTTAACTTCGTTTTGATGGTGGATTGTAGATTAGGAGAAACACAGTCTCATTTTGGGCTTTTGAGTTTGGCTCCTGTTACATTTTTATTCACCGTGGGATGTTTTTTTTTACTACCATATAAATCCTGCACCGCTATGGAAACAACACTACGATGGCTACGACTCTAAAAAGGCTCTTGTGCAGTAAGACACAGTTATAATGCTGTAAATCAAATTGGTTGGTGGAAAAAAAAGCTGGAATAAATGTGTCCAACATTTTTCCAAGTGCACACAAGTTTAACACATACTGGAAAATAATTCTGACTTTACATACTGTTGATATTTCTGTACCCACTTAATTTTTTTCTGTACTTGTCTCATATCTGCCTGCAGTTCAGTCAAAAGGTCTTTGAATTTCTGTAGACATTTTAGATTTTTAACATTTTTTTTCCATACTTGTGTGAACACAGCTGGCACTTCAACACGGTTTAGACGAAAATTTGTAAAAATTTTTGTCATGTGACTGCTGGTTGTAGCTCAGACAAGAACAGTGTCATATTTTCGCAAAGAAACACAGAATTATTTGGTTTTTAATGAATCTAGTTGCAGCAAATAGTTTATTTTTGGCAACTTTTTAAATAAAAGATGTAGGATTAAGTGGTTTTAATGACAAGTCAGTTTTCCGATCTAATGACACTTAACAGAGAATTAGTTCAAGGACTGTTAAAAAAAAAAAAAAGAATCCAGTGATTCTATTTGTTTTTACAGTTTCTAGCTCTGGATAATGGATGTTTTTTTAAATATAGCATGACTTTAAAACCCAACTGCAGGTTTTAGGGTTCAGAGATTTAAAGCATTCAAGCAAAATGTATTTAGTGTTCAGTGCATGTCTCATAGTCATGTTGCTGCAGTTCTCCTCAATCATAATCCTTACATCCCTGCCGTCCAATACATCATGCATACATGCAAGATTCGGCCTCACCTATCTGCTTTTGACAGCTACATCTCGGTGGGAGTCCTGCTGCTAGGTGATATATTGTTTTTTGATCTCAATCCCCAGAAATGTGTCTCTGCTCTGCAGGGAAAACTTGTATAACGCTGAAAAAAAAAAGCTCCACTGCACATCACAGTCATATGGGCTGATATAATCGATGATGACTTTCTTTGGCAGCTAGAAAACCGCAGCGTGAAGGAGGAATGTCCTCAGTCTGGAGTGAGTTTCTGTGATGAGACACCACTTGTTATAAAAGTGAAAAAAGCAGCTCAACCTCATCCAAATGATCATCTCTATCATTGTTTCCTGGAGCAAGGCTTTCATGGAACTCAGAAAGCAAATTGCAGACAGCAAAAGGGCAATCTGGATGTATTGTTTTTTTATATGTGAAGTATTTTAGAGGCATGAATGAACACATTTAAGGTGTTTACTTGCAAGTTAAGGTCTACAATTATGATTTTGGTTTGATTAAAGTTGTTGTAGATTATATTGGACCTGTGCGTTTGCTCATTTTGTAGATTCCTTTATCTACATATATACAGTGCATCTTTATCCTGAAACTGAGAGCTCACCTATCTGTTCCTGTGTGTGAGAGTGTGAAGGCTGAGCCTGGACTTCAGCCTGGGCCTGCTGCTGCTGCTGTTGCTGCTGCTGCTGCTGCTGCTCCTGCAGACTCTGACTATCCACCGAGATGCCGCTGTCGCTGTGCAGCTTCTCTCCCTCCGGCGTCACCATCTGGTTGTTTGTAGCTGCACGGTTATTAGCCGCCTGCTTGTTCTGCTTGCAGCTGTTCCACCTGTGGAGAAGTGGCACGTCAGGTAATAACGGATAAGATACAGATATGTGATTCTATCTGAGTTTTAGATACTCTGATTTTGCAGCAGTAATGAACCAAGAAACAATAAGTGCAGTGGCAGATTTTAGATAGCAAACTGTCAGTGGTCTGTGTTCATTGTTGTTTTTTTTTAACTTTATAACGTAAAAGCAAAAATATAAGGAATGGATTAAATATTGTGTTTGTCTGCTCTAATTTCTTCATGTAAGCTGCAATTGTGAGCATTGAACCATCTTACTTTGACAACAATATTTTGTTTCTCTGTGATATATACATTGCAAAACGCTAAAAAAAAAATATGGGAATTTGCTCTAGATGACTTGATTAATCATTCTACAATGATTGGGGTGATTTTGTAGCAGTGTGTGTGTGTCCGCATCGTGAATCCAGAATAATTTAAAAATGCTGATAAAAGAATGGAACCTTTCTCATACACTTGCAAAGGTATCCAAAATAGCGTTTTGGTCTCAATGGCATTCTGATCAGGGGTGCGCTCACAACTTGCATAACAAGCTTGGTGGCGCTGATTTCATTGGTTCGGCAGATTTTTGCCACTTGGGGTGGCAACAACTCCATCCATTCCATCTCCATCTTTTTTGAAACCAAATTGACCTTTTCATGTTCCTCGCTCATTTGGCTGTGCAAATGTGGAGAACGCATGTCAAGAAACTTTCTGTTTTAAATTCAGTGAAAGAAAAAAGTTGAAGTGCATCCAAGAACATTGAAATCAGAGCAAATGATGTTCCGTCAGACTTCTCTTGTGGATCAGTCGAGAAAAATGATAACTTTTGCATCAAGCAGCAAAAAAACTTGTAGCTTGATTTGTTTGCGTTAACTTGGCTTACCTCACATCGCACTCCCTGCAATCTGACCGTGATTCTGCACGCTCACATTATAACATCAGTGCTGAAATGATATAATGTGTAGCTCTAACTGGTGGCCTTGGATGCTATCATAAGAGCTCTGCAGTGCTATTTACTGAATTTATTTGCCAAGTATTTAAGTTGGCTCTCATTCTAAGAGCCTCTTCTCTTGACCTTAAATGCTTGCAATAGAGCTTATGATGGAACCTTTTAAAGCAGGCGATGACGCTGGTGAGCTGGAAACAATATAAAGTCTAGATGGAGACAGCATGTTCATGGAGATATCATTAATTAGCTTATAAATTGTTGTTGCCAGTGACAGTTGTCATTTCGACTGGGAAAAGTCCACAAGTCATCTGCTAGAATTGAGGAATTTACTTTTGTGCTGCAGCAGACAGCACCATGAATTTCAATGGTAACTCTGCCTTCATTATTATTACAAATTACATATGTGTCAGTTTTTATGCTACCACGTATTTGTCTAGGAATACAATAAAAACTATAATTAGACGCTCATAAAATGTGCAGAACGCATGCAAAAGCTTAACAATTCCCTGCTGCGGCCTCTCTCGCTGAAGATAAATGACTCATGAATCAATGATTAAAATATTCATGAGGTATTGAGTGGTACAGTAGAGTTAACACCTCTACTTATAAAATATTGGGTGTTGTTGAAATTCACATCGTTTACCGTCTGTTTATGCATGACGATAAGTACATGAGGAGTATTGGGCAGATGTGAGCGTGACTGCGCTGATAAATCTGGCACTCAAATTTCCCCTGGTCGGCACTTTTCAAACAATCAATGTCTCTAATGAGCTTGTTTACTTGCTTCAAATGTGTTTTAGCGCAGCCTTGTATCTGTTTGTCTGAGTGCTGCATGTGTGGTTGTGTGTTCTCACTTAATGTGTTTGTGCGCGTGACCTCTGCAATGCATTAAGTGTTGTGTGAACAGCTCCTTATGGTGTGTATCAGAAATGGGTCAAAGCCCTTTTCTACTGAATATTTCACCAGCCACCTTGCAGCCATTTTTTTAAAGACTGGATGTGCCTGAGGCCAACATCTTGTGTTAAAGTGACAGATGTTGGCCCCGGCAGGAGCCAGACCACCATCTCATCACTGTTCGCCCTCTCCGTCCTGGATAATGCAGTGACTGAGGTGCAAAACCCCAAATGTGCTAATCACTTTCACGACAGAGCAGCTTTTCATTCTTTTTTCTTCCAACTTACCTCCTAAAAACGAAATAAGCCACCAGGCCGACCGCCCCAGCGGCCAGGATGGAGCAGTAGATGGGGATGAGGTTTTCATTGAGGCCGTGACCGAGGAAGCGAGGAGAGCCGGCGCTGGACGTGGTCGTCTCTCCGCCGGGCAGTGGGCTGTCAGAGCCGTCAGGAAAGAGGTAATTGGGGAACGAGGACGAAGACAGATCCATGTCGGAGGTAGTGGTGGCATATGTAGGGAGGGAAGGATCTGTGTGGAAGAAAGGGGAGAAAAAGGAGCATTTTAAAGACAAGAAATATGCATAGATGTGGCTTTAAAGGTCCCATATCATGTTCCTTTTTCAGCATATTAATCAAAGTTTCACATGTCCCCCTTTTCAGCTCAAAGATGGTTCATTTCACCATGAACCTATAACTGGTTTTATCTGTTTTTTGTCCAGGAGTTATACATTTACATTGTTTTTAACTTAAGTGTACAGTGAGTTAGTTAAATGACATCATGGTTATGAAATCAATAGTTTTAACGGTGCAGCAAACAGACGTAAACATCGGCTGAAGTCGAAGTACAACAGGTGATATGAAAGCAGAGTAACACAACCAGTCCTTGTTTATTAGTTTGCATTGGTCTTAAGGATTTTATACAGCTTTGACCATATTATCAAAGCTAATGATAAAGTTAACCACATTCGCTCTACAATGTGCTAACACATTTTTTTCCCCAATTGTTTTGGTGACATTATCATCAAAAATGAAAATTATCCATTAGGTCTTTAGTTTCTTGGACGCTAGGAGTGCATGAAGACTATTGTGTTCACTTTTGCAGCCAACAGCAGTAACTTTGTCGTGCTTTGCTTGTGGCTGAGACAGTTTACAGTTAGCAGAAGCAGCTCTAGAGAGTAAATCAACCTGGTAGACTATGAGGCAGCTGCTCAATTTGAATAGCTCATCTCTAAAGCAATGGGAACTGAAGAGTCAGTGAACATACAAAGTTTTAGTTCTCTGACTATACTCTTTCCTCTGTTTCTACTTACAAACGAAATAAAATTCTGGCTTTATAGCTGGGAGGCTATTTAGTTGGGGGGGCTTGAGAAATGGCAGAAGTAAACGTCTTCATATCTTTACAGCTTTTACTTTACACCTCCAACAACCACAAAACACAATAAAAATGGATTTTTACCATATGGGGCCTCATTGGGAACAGAATAAGAGTTCTGAGGAGGCCTTGGTGCACTAATGCTTTAAGCTAAATGCTAACAGGCTGATGCGTCTACAGTGGCGACATTGATCACCATTTTAGTTTCACAGCTGATGGTCCTGTCACGACAGACGTCTTGTCCTAAAACCAAACCACTGAATAAATGAAGAGATCACCAAAGTTATTACACTTCATCTTGAAGGGATTTGAACATCTGGGTCAAATTTGAAAGCAGTCCATCTTGTAGCAGTACATTTACCTCAAAACAACATATTTCTACTTTAATGTTGTGGTATAGAAAAATGTCCAAAAAAAAAAAATCTTGGATACATCCTCAGGACACCAGGAATTGTCCGTGAATCTAGCTATTTGGTATATGTTGAAATATTTCATTGGGTAAGGGAACACTTTGACCTGCAGGTGACTCTCGAGGAAAGACAGAAGATCGCCAAAGTTATTAGAATTCATCCTCTAAACATGATAGACATCTGTACCAAATTTCAGTCTATCCTTTAGCTGTTGCTGAAGAGAAATGCTATCATGATGACACTTTAATATATTTGCAGAGACCTCGTTCGCTGGGTGTAGCCACCAAGTCCCTAACCAGATGTCTGATACGCCGCATACATGCAGCAGCTGTTTCTGATAGACAGATGGGTTCTGGCTGAGTTGCTGTGTGCAAAAAAAAAAAAAAGAAAGAATGCTACTCAACTAGGGGGGCAAATATCTGTCGCCCACCAGCCCACCCCACACCAGGCTTGAGCCCTGCACGCCAGGTCTCCCCTCACCACATCCCCATCTATGTGATCTCTCTGCACATTGCATGACATTAAGGCCATATGGATCCATGTAGAACAAAGTCCGGGGCTTTAGGGAGGTCATCCCTTCGAGTGCAGCCTTTACAGACACCAGAGAGGGAAGGAAAGCACTGGGCTACTGGATGTGTCTGGTTTCTATCACAGCTAAGCTTGTACAGAAGTCATTTTCATAAATTGTCCTATTTCCTCTTTCATTGTCAGCTCCATTAATGATTCAGTGTAATTTCCCATCGTGCGGTAGTGCCATGTCCACTCGGATGGGCATGACTCGTCCAGAAAACACAATTTATCCATCAAATCTGCCCCACAGTCCTGTCGTTTTCTGCTTCTGTTCTGAGGAGCTCTGCGAGTAACGCTGCAGTGATTCTGTCAGATGGTAGCAAGGTTCACAGAGCAGTCTGCAGATTATTCCTGTCCTCGGGGTACGGTACAGCAGGCCGTGGAGAAAGCCTGTCCGGCCAAAACCCAAACTCCTCTGAGCTCGGCGGCCTGGTGGGGATGGAGAATGTGCAGACTGGTTCAGATCTGAGCCTGTAATTCCCAGCAGAACCTCAGGCTGCTCCTCATTAGCTTTGTACTGGCGCTCACAGGATTAACCCTGTGGAGACCCCTGAGGCTTCCTTCAAGGCCAAAGACTGGGACGCTGTACCCCAAATACTTCAGGGGTCGTCCTACTTCACAAATGTTATGATTTGTTACAGCTGCTAACTGGTTGACATGTATTGTAGCCCTGTACTCAAACCCATATTCATCATTCATAAGCTCAATATAAACCTTTAATAAATAGTTGAGAACACATTAATGGAGCTCACAATGAAAGATGGAAAATGTAAATGTAAGAGATAAAAGGGTGTTTTAACTTGCCTTCTGCAGATCTGTTTTATAGTATTACAACAGCCCCACTTATTAGAGTCCAAGGGAGGAGCAAAAATGCTGAGAAATGCATTAAAGAACAAAGGCCAGGACCCCCACTCAAGCCTGGTGTACCATTTCAGACTCGGTAAGTGAGGCTAGGCCTTCTTTTAGATCGCTTATGATAGGTTGAGAGTTGTTCAATTAGCGAAAACCAGCTGCACATGGACATGCCCACTGCATGAGTGTGCATCATCATGATAAAGAGGTGGATGTGTTGTGCTTTTGTGTGATGTGAACTTTAACATTGTATAGAAGTCAGCCCACTTCTGTTGGATCACTTGTAGATGTTGTTTCCTGAGTAAAGGCGGTACAACTTCAACTGAAGGGCACTGAACCACACTGGTTGAAACTTATGCTTGGGTGTGACTTTCCATTTGTGGTGGGTCATTTGTGTGTTCCCTTTACTGAATATTGTGTATCTTGTGACTTGTGTGACCATTTCTGTTGTGGTGACAACAGTTCGCTTTTTATGTTCGGGCAAGTCCTCTTAAACTATTTGGTGAGAGCAATTAGTTTTGCTGTGTGGTTGTTGTCTGCCACATGTTTGAGTGTGCAATGAAGTGATCCAGATCAGTGTGTCTCAACAGCACTGAAGTGAAGTTGTTGGATATTTAGGAGATCCTGCTGTTGAAACTCCTTTGTTGGTTCATCTGTTGCTTTATTTGGGTGATCGGAGCAACTTTGTGTAGCTGACCCTCTTGATCTGGGGCTCCACATTAGTTTCCTCTTGATTCTTTATCTATGTTGAGTTTCTAAACGTTTGAGACAAAACAAGATTGCAGAGGGGCTATGTCCTATTTTTTCTTTTTACATTGTCTAGAGGAACCCTTTAGGTAGGTGGTGCATGGACTCAATTATCTGAATTCTGTTTATGATTTAGTTTTTAATGATTTATAACTTTACCATACTACACAAAAGACACTTAAGTTCTCTCTCCTTCTAGCCATGGTTGCGCTGTATACAAAGGACATTTTATTGCTGTAAAAATGAGCTCATGTGAGTAAAAATGTGACAGCAGCCAAAAACGGGAATCAGAGGTTTAGTCGCAGGCCATTTAAAATTCTAGAAACGTATTCATTGTTAACCTTCGCTTGGTTAAAAAAGCAGATTCTAATTTTTTTATCATTTTTTGCCTCAGTTGGAGATACTGTCCTACTGAAATGTGTGCCTCCACTCCTGTGGCACATGCAGTTTCATTTGTAGAGCTCGCAGCACAGAAAAATTGCATTTCAATAATTTAACAGCAGTGTGCCTTTCCAGAAACAATGTCCCGGTTCCTCTGAATCATCCTTAAACCTCGCTGACTACAGTTTTCATTTGAACTACTTTGAGCCTGAAAACCTGCAAAAATGTCTGTGGATTACGCAGAAGAATAGGATCAGTATTTTTTTTTAAAGTAGTTTTAATTGCTTTCAGCACCACAAATTTGAGTCACCTTTTCACTTGTGGGCTGATTTCTCATTATTATGTTTACAAGCTGTCACCTTCTTTTTGTATATGATGTTGTTTGTCGTCCATTACTCAACATGACTCATCACAAGTGACCGTAGTGTCAAACATCAGCAGGAAAGTGCATTTTCTAGTGGAACGCTCATTTACCCAGTTTTTATATGTTAATCAAGTGGAGAATCTCACAAAATGCATTATCTGATGTGAACTGTAGCAAAGAAAGACTTTCAGTGGACCATCACAGTCAAAGACAGGCTACATATACTCACTGACATTGCAGATAATCAGGTTTCTCTGCATTGATTTGTTGCATAATTTACACATGATCGCTTTCTTTATTATTCTGATGGAATCTTGATGGGCAACTTATGTAGAAAAATTTCTGTTTGTCATTAAAGGCCGATGTCGGTTGGTCTGTTTGTCTGGCGATGACGGGGCGATCCTGCCTCCCGTGAGGGGATTGGTTTACAGAAATGGTAGAAAATATCTTCCTGAAAAACACAGCACATGTGCGTGCCATACTTAGAAACACAGAAATAATGCCAAGACCTATTTAAAGCAGCGCTATTGATTCGGATCCGTCTAAAAGGAGGGAGTGTTCGGAGGAGTGGAACATGGGTGTCTGTATTACATGCATTTCTTGACCTTTCCTGGGATGTAGTCAGGTTTCCTCAGCACTGCCATACATCATCCAGCTAATGCAGCCCCAGCTAATGGTATTAGCAATGCAACACGAGCTTGCAAATAGAATAAATTGTGAATGGAAGGTGTGAAAGTGAGCGAAAGTGTGCAGACGGTCTGGCTTTATGCACAGTTTGTTAAAGAATCCTTACAGCCATCCTGCAGTAAGTGCTCTTTGATGCAGCGGATGTT